ATTTGTACGCACGGTCTTCAAAACCTAGCGTTGTGATGGTATATCTTCACTAAATACTAAATAGTGAAGCGAAGCATAAAAGTAATATTCCCAAATTCTGAAATTGGGTTCCTCATTTTCAAGTCATCAACGGGAATCTTAGTCCATGAATTATTCATAATCCATCTTAGGCTCCATTAACTCGAATGACTTTTTTCATACGAATACAAGAATTTCCTCGATGATTCGGCTTTGGCAAATTGTCAATGCTATATATTCTACCAATTAACACATAACCGTTTCCCAATCTGACTTTGGAGTGGACCGGCGGTTTTGAATATGATGAGAAACCGAATATAAAGTACGTTCAAACGAAAAACTACAACGTGAAGCTCTTCTAAGGATCTCCGACTTTGTGCTCAGCTGAAGTAGAGGAAGAAAAATGTTAAATGGATAAATGTCATGAATGGCTAAATTAATTAGAAGAATCTTGCATTTTGATACCATGCACCAGGGGGATTAAAAGGTCCCCACTTTTGTCAACGATCCTGCTCATAAACCTAAAGGAGCATAAATGAGTGTAAAGATTGATGGCGACCGCAACTTGTATCCGCGAGATTAAGAAAGGCAATGAAGAATCGGGTTCAAATCACGTAGAGGATCTCCTAATCAATAAAACCAGAAAAAAAAATGGGGAAAAAAGAGAGATGGATGAAGAAAAATCAGATAGGGAGATATCATCAACAAGGAAACTTCTCAGTGAACCACCGGAGGATCTTGATGGGAAGCTTGAGAAGGCTCACGGCCAGCTTTGCCACCCCGACACAGCATATGCAGCAAGGGCACAAGCAACTCAGTACGGTCCTGTGTGATTAGCAAAAGAACGTCGTTGCCATCATCTCTTAATGTCCTATGATCTCTCTCGTGGCTTTTTTCACTCCTTGTAAAGCGAAAAACACGAGGCATCTCAAAGTCGGGGTCAAGCATTCCTGTCTCGTCCGGCTTTCACGTTCGTCAGATATAGACCAGGAGTTGCTCATCATCAGTCCGTTACATCCGACCCCGTCAATCCCATTCTTCGCGAAAGGGTCGATCCAGCACACGAATCTTGAAGTCCAGGGATCTAAGAACTAAAACGACCAATGCGTTGATGCACGTAAAGGGAAAAAAAATCAAGAAGAATTACTGATGGCAATGTCGGAGGAGACGAATTCGAAGTTTCACGTAGCCATGTTTCCATGGTTCGCAGTTGGTCACATGACCCCGTTCCTCCACCTCTCCAACGAGCTCGCCGAGTGGGGCCACAAGATCTCCTTCTTCTTGCCCAGGAAAGCCTCAATTCTCTTGGAAAACCTCAATCTACACCCCGACCTCATCGCCTTCCACCCGGTCACCGTCCCCTCGGTCGCCACCCTCCCTCTGGGGACTGAAACCGCCTCCGACATCCCCTTCTCCGATAGTCCCTCGCTCGCGACCACCATGGACCTCACCCGCCCCCAGTTAGAGGTCTTGCTGCAGGCCCTGCGGCCCGACTTCTTCTTCTACGACATGGCCTACTGGATCCCCCAAGTGGCCAGACCGCTCGGCATCAGGACAGTCTGCTACAATGTTGTTTCCGCGGCCACGATCGCCATCGTCCCGGCACAGGAGGTGACCCTCGGGAAACCCCTCACGGAGGAAGAGCTGGCGAAGCCACCCGAAGGGTACCCATCAAAGACTGTCGTGCTGCGTGGCAGCGAAGCCCGATCCCTCGTATTCGTAACCCTGCCTTCCGGCGACAACATAACGTTCCACGGGCGCATCACGACTGCCATGCGAGAGTGCGACGCGATCGCCATGCGTACGTGCCAAGAAATAGAAGGGGACCTGTGTGCCTACATCAGCAGTCAATACGGTAAGCCTGTCTTCTTGACTGGCCCGGTCTTGCCTGAGCCGGCGAGGAAGGAGCTGGACGAGAAGTGGGCCGAGTGGCTCGGCCGGTTCAAGCCAGGGTCCGTGGTGTTCTGCGCGTTTGGGAGCCAGCACGTTCTCGAAAAGGACCAGTTCCAAGAACTCCTGCTAGGGTTCGAGTCAACAGGCTTGCCATTTCTGGTAGCTCTCAGACCACCAATTGGGACGAACTCAGTAGAAGAAGCTTTTCCCGAGGGTTTCCAAGAGAGAGTCCAAGGGAGAGGAGTGGTTCACGGCGGTTGGGTCCAACAGCCACTGATCTTGAGTCACCCATCGGTCGGTTGCTTCGTGAGCCACTGCGGGTACGGGTCGATGTGGGAGTCGCTGATGTGTGATTGCCAAATAGTGATGGTCCCCCATCTGTGCGACCAGATCCTGAACACGAGGCTGCTGGCCGAGGAACTGAAAGTGGGGGTCGAAGTGGAGAGAGAAGAGAGCGGGTGGTTCTCGAAGGAGAGCTTGTGCAGAGCCATCAAGAGCGTGATGGACGAGAAGAGCGAAGTGGGTCAGCTGGTGAAGAAGAACCATGCGAAGTGGAGAGAGGCTCTGGTGAGCCCGAACTTCATCAGCGGCTACATCGATAGGTTTATTCAGAATCTGCAAGAGCTTCAAATGAAAAATTAGAGGTATCGATATACATAGAGAGAGATCCTGAAGGGCAAAGATAGCGAATGTGAAGTGGCCTTTCAAATTATGGAGATGGGTTTGACTCATGTAATCAGCGCGGAAGATAAGTTCGATGTACGTGATCTTTAGAATGATATTTTCTACATGGAAAGAGATTTTCCTTCCTAACTTTACAAAACTATTTGGGCCAATGTACCGCAACTTGTCTTTTGTAGTCGAGTATTGACTTTTTCATATTCAAACTACAATGGCACTTGTCCCCGAAGAAGCCTCTTCTCTAAGTAAAATTCGAGCAAATAGAATAGCTCTTGCCACTCTCATAATTATATCTTTTAAATATCACGTGTTGTCTTAAAAATAAATTCGGCACATTGGAACGTCCTATGGTAATCTTACAAATTACAAAATGAGCATGTATGTGAATCAATCACGAGTCTCCCCCACAAATTCTTTCTTGATTAGTTTACTGTAAGATAACTCATGCAACGATTATTACGAAACAAAAATGAAAATTGAGGTTACATTGTATGTCCTAAAATCTGAAAGATAATGCTAAAAATGCTAAAATTGGTGCAGCAAACTGTTGATGGGTATTGAATATAATTCCTTTGTTGGATTCCTCATTTTGCAGTACTCCATCATTTGCATGATAACTTTCTAAGCCATTCTTGTTATAGGTAACATTTCTCGCTTGATAGTGCTGTGTAATAGAATTGAAAGGTAGCAGGCTGGCTCGAGTAAAATCATGGTGCAAGAGCAACCGACCTTAGGAGGGAAAATTACTAAAAAAATTCTAAATCTATTGTAATTGTGCCAATTCAGTCTTAAATCTTTCAATTTGGTCAATTTAATTCTAAACATTTTGATGATTTGCCAATTAATAGTTCCGGCCAATTTTCCTTGGAAATCACTAACATTGACACCGGCAATGTCACATAAGACAGTTGGCACTGAGTGGACAATTTTTATAATTTTTTAAATGTAGTAATTTTGGCTTGAGTAAAATCATGGAATCACTATAGCACGACTCAATGGACCCAAGCATAGGCATGGGAGTCTCAGGCATGGGCCCTAGGGTCCGGGGTTTGGCCTCGATGGACCCGGGCTTTGGCACCGAGAACTTGGGCTTGACCTCGATATTACATGGCTTGGCATCCCACGCATAGGCACCGGTGTCCCGAGATCTAGCCTTGATAAACCTGGGCATGGCGGTCGAGGTCTCGCGCACGGCCTAGATAAACCTGAGCCAGGGTACCAAGGACCCAGCTCAGCTGCCAAAGGCCCAGGAATGAGCGTTGGGGTTCCCATGCCCGACCACATAGTCTTTGGTCCAAGTGCTAATACCTTTAAAAACATGATTTTTAATGTTTTAAAGAGGAAATTATTTTTCTGAATTTAAGTTTTGATAGGAAAACCTTTTCCGTTGACTTATTTTTCTAAGCAATCCAAACGCTGAAAAATAAGAAAAATGTTTTCCGCAAAACAGACAGAGCCCTAGAGTGTGTTCGTTTCACGAAAAATAAGTGATTTGGAAAATATTTTCCGAAAAATGATTGCTTATATCGTTTAGAAAAATTAGTCAACGGAAAATGTTTTCATCTCAGTAACAATCTATACCTAATTATTTTCATGGGCCATGAAAAACTTTTTCATTCATTTACTTTTGTAGGCGATACAAACAATTATTTTTTGAAAAATATTTTTCAAATCACTCATTTTTCGCGAAACGAACGCACCCTTAGTCTTAAAAGATTCGCGTGTTACTAGTGGTGGTCTTCGTGTGGGACGGTTGCCATTTGCGTCCTAGAAGATAGGGTATCCCTTTATCTCTACGCGTACGTATGGTCTTCAAAGTCTATGATTGTGATGGCTTGAATCGAAAATCACGAGGTCTGTTTAAAATAAGTAGGAAAGCGAATTGGCATAACAATATTCTTCAATTCTTATATTTTTGGGTTCCTCATTTTCAAGTCATCATCGGCAATCTTGATCGTTGAATTATTGACAATCCATATTACATTTCATTAACTCGAATGACTTTTCCACAGGAATACAAGCGTTTCCTAGATGATTTATCTTTGAGAATTTTTTTGGAATAGATACACTTTATCGTCATTTTTCTATGTTCCAAAATTGGTACACGATTGATTCTTAATCCGACTTTGAACTAGCTTGGTGGCTTTGAATACGATGAGCAACCGAACTTCAAGTACGTTCACAAGAAAAACTACAACATAAAAGCTCATCAAGGACCTGCCAATTTGAGCTCGATCGAAGTGTCTAAAGAAAAATTTTAAATGGCCAAGTATCGTGATCGGCAAAATTAATTAGGTAAGTCTCGCATTTTGGTACCATGCTCTAGAGAGACGTAAAAAGAAAACCTCATTTTTGGTCGACGATCCTATTCCTAATCTGAAATAAGCAAAAACGAGAAAGATTGATGATGATCAACAATAAAGAATCGGTGCAATCTCACATGGAGGATCTCAGAATCAATACACAGAAAAAATGGGGAAAACTAGAGAGAATGGAGAAGAGAAAATTCAAATAGGGAGAAATCAACATGGAATCTTCTCAATGAACCACCGGAGGATCTTGATGGGAAGCTTGAGGAGGCTCACGGCCAGCTTTGCCACCCCGAAGCAGCATATGCAGCATGGGCACAAGCAACTCAGCACAGTCCTGTTTGATTACCAAACGAACGTCGTTGCCATTAATGAGCAGAAGGGGATGGATTGTGAACAGAAAATGGAGGTGGAAAAAACTTACGCGAGGACCCAAACAACTGCACCCACTAGTGACAGAATCACGGCAACGAAAGCAAAGGGCAAGCCTATCAAGAATCCCAGAGGCTTGCACTCTCCCATTTTTCTCCGATCCAATCCTCCAAGATACGATGAAAAACCACTTTCAGAAAGCAGAACTGCGTATGGTTCTGAGCGGCGATGGAGAGATTATGGTGAGCTTGAATGTATATGCAGGGCGAAAAAGCAACGCGTATTGGAGCTACAAGATTGTGCGGAGTCAATGGATGTTTAATATTAGAGTCTACCCGCCATGATTGACGATTCTGGTGATAGAAGCTTCTTCTTGGTCTCCGTTCTTTTTCCGGAGCTTTGTCATGGTTTTGAAATTTCAAAGGAGCGTGCGAGACTCGCTTCTTCGGTTTACTCCACAAGAGATTCACGGACCTCATGGGCTACGAATGAAGATGAAACTTAACACGATGTATACATCAGATGAGAAGTTGATGATGGGTTTTTTGGAAAATACGGTGCAGCGTCAAGCACAGGCCCAAAGCATTTCAGAATCCATATTCCCAGAGACTCAAGCCCAGCCATGCAGTCCCAGGCTTCATGAGAGAGGCCTGTGGAATGGATGGGTCGGGTCGAAAAATGGTCCTATCAAATCGATCCATTTAACCAGTATTCGCCCATTTCTATACATTATTATTTCACCGACCCGGATCCAACTCCACCCCAGGCCCAAAGCAATTTCAGAATCAATATGCCCGGAGACTGAAGCCCAACCATGCAGCCCCAAGCTTAACCAGATAAGGCAGAGCCTATTTCCATTCTCAACCGGTTCGAACATCCCGCTTCGATCCCTCCCGGTCCGATCATTCGATCTTCATATCCCGATTTTCATGAAACCGGTTCGTCGCAAGAAAATGGGGACAGGGCTTCATATGGTTTCCCGGTTCGAACGAGCTTTCTGAAAATCGGGCTTCCCGTGAATATCGGGCAGAGCGCAACTATAGATGAGGCGTAGAGTAGTACGGCTTGGTTGAGAAGTTCTCATCACATTCTAATCTCTCAAGTCCAAGCGAACGATTCAATTTCAAAGGCAGTTCTGTTCATGGCGCGACTTTCGCTCCGCACCCTCTTCTCATCAGATCATTGGCATACGGAAGCAAAGGCGAAAGACCCAAAAAAAAAAAAAAACACATCACAAAATAGAACGAACACGGTCATTTTCTATTTTGTCGGAAGAAACCAATCTCGTACAAGGAAGCTGCTGCTGAATTTTTTCGCACGATGTTCGTGTCGATCGGTGATAGGAGGCGCCCGCATCATTATTACAGAAAAAAAAAGCCCATCGCTTGTCAACGGCACATTCATGGGACGAGCCAAATTAATTCGACTTTTTTTCGAATTCTAGCGATAGCCGATAATTTGATTGCGCTCCATAATTTCGTCCCATCGAGATTTGACTTTCAGAGATTTAACCTTTTTGATATATCCCGTGGGAAGAGGAAGGCGGCCCCCGTTACGTACTTCGCCAGCTCGGCATGGCGGCGGCGGACGAGTCAGGTTAAATAACTTCGCCGGGTCTCGCCTCGTCCGTCAAAGTCAATGAGTCAACGCGCCCCCGCCCTACGCGAAGCTGCCGCCACCGCGTCGTAGGAATCGTAGGGGGATATTATGGTGCGCACTGCGCACTAAAGCTCGTCCCAATAATTCCAAAGCAGCAGGTTCCCTAGCGCCGTGTTAGAAAAGTTCTTTGCTTTCCTTTTCTTTTTCCTCTTTTATTTTGGGGGGACCTCGATAAAAAATGAAAAAATAACACAAATAGTCCCTGAATTTTAACGTAATATACAATTTGATCGCTGAACTTTTAATTTATTCAATATAGTCCCTGAACTTTAGGCAAATATTCAATGTGATCCATGAACTTTTAATTTGTTCAATATTATCCCTTAACTTTTGATACTTGTTCAATTCAGTCCATGAATTATATGAAAATGTTCAATATAGTCCATGTACTACCCAATATATCGAGTTCGCCTCGGCCAACTCATGAACAGGAAGGCAGTTTATTACATGAATTTGACTCAGGGACCACATTGAACATTTGCCTAAAGTTCAGGAACTACATTAAACAAATTAAAATATTAGCAATCAAATTGCATATTAGGTCAAAGTTCAAAAACTGCCTGTGTCACTATCCCATAAAAAATTTAACTGAAATTGAATCTCCGAACCTTTCAAAGAAGAAAACCTCTTTCGACTCTTTTCCACGCTGTAACTGCATCCGTTGCCTCTCCCTCGATTTAATTAAGCCGAGATGAATCGGCTAGAATGGAGGTGACACACATAATTAATCAATTATAATGAGCTTAATTAAATAAAAATTAGAAAATATATTAGGCATGAAAATAATTTCGAATTTTACATAGGTCGCGGTACGTAAGGGTCCTTCCAGTGCGGTATCGGTTTCTAGGATAGGTTTCAGGTTTTGAAAACTGGTGAAGTTGTTCCGACGGTTAGGCTCCCGGTATTTGAAATAAGTCTTTGTGTTTTTCTCGCTCTATGTTTTCGCGCGATCTTGCGGCATTCCAAGGTATCCAGTGATAAGTGTGTAATCTAAAATCACGAATATGAACTTCCATTTCCGGCGATATTTATGATCGAGACTTTTACTTTATTAATATTTAATATTTTTTGTTAATGGTGGTCATAAGCGGTAGTGATTCATTGTAATTGTGCAGCGAAGAGTGCACGAAGAAACCTAATAGACTCCGGAACCTGTAACGGAATGTAGAACCATTTGTCCCGGCAGTCCGTACGCTGCCAAATTTAATCAAATAAAGATTAAAAAGTGGGAAATTTCAATCCAAATCGGCGGTATTGGACAAGCGCGCTGTTTGGGGGGGCTTTCTTAATGACGGAGGGAAGGAACAAGGAGAGCAGCGCAGACCGCGGGACAAGGAACCTCCGGACCACGCTGTCGCCAACAATATCTTAAACTCCACCCCGCCACACACGTGTCCGCCTGACCGGTCCGAGGGGCGCCGGATCTCGACGCGTGTCGCCCCGAGGGCCGCGCGCGGCCGTCGGATCCCGCCCTCGCGACCGGTTCAAAAAAGCAGCGCAGGAGGACCGGGGGACCACGCTCTGAAAAGGCGTCCTTTTTTTAATAATAGGGTTGGGGGGGCGGGCGGGGGTAAAGGCGGTATTTTATTTTGGAATTATCCCTTTTTCGGGGGATGGGAATTTAAAAAAGGAAAAAGGGAAAAAAGGAGCGGCATCTCTCCTGATCCGCCTCACGCGGCGGGAAAGCGGACGGGACAGTGCCGACAGATGTTGGGAATCGCGAAAACAAAAGCCGTCGGGTTGGGATAAAAGGGGAATATTTATTCTCATTTACGGTATCCGTCTCCTTCATCACGGGAGATAAGTCGCTATTCCTGTAATTTAGTTGACAAGATGAGAAATTTGAGTCGTGAATAATTTTTGCATTTGATACCCAAAAAAGCAAAAAGAATTTAAGGGCCGCGGATGTTTTTTAATTCACATTTTATCCGTGCGCTAGAGGTATTTACTGATAAAATTCTAAATTAGATTGCTGGTGAAATCGAAATATCTTCTTATTAAGCATGTCTAGAAAAATATATTGAATGCATTCTCGACACTCGTGAAAATAGCAACATAAAGAAATCCTTACACTGTCCGTGGCTAGTCTTATGTTTTGCATCATAGGTATACAAATAATTTGCCTCACCTTTCAAACATGGATTTCTAGTCTAATATAGGAGTTCTCCTCTCCTCCTAGACCTCCTAGAGTAATTTAAAACCCAATGAAGACCTGGAATTAGTCTCCACTCGTGTGAATCTATTAGCATAAGAAGCCGAGAGATTTAATAATTTCTCGATAACTTTATTTAGTAATGGATTTCGAAATATTCAGATTCGCGACAAAATCCGTACCTGCACGGAGAGCACGCGCGCTACGCGATACGAGCGAAGTCTCCCCCATCTTACCCACCGTCCAGCAACGCCGCCCTCAACGGTAGTACTAGCCTGTTATCCTACTATCCGCTCGGTTTTTTTTTAAACGGTCGAGATTAGCCTCCCTCTTTCCTTTCCCCATAATCAAAACTCATCCGACGGGCGAGGACGTAAAAAAAATCAGGACGCATTGCGTAAATTTAAAAAGGTTATTTATTTTTGGGGACGCCGAATCGTCGCTTTCGTCGAAAAATCGGAGCACTTAAAACATTCTTACAATAAAGATGAAGAAAGAGAATGTAAAAAAAAAAAATGCTAAAGCAAAAGGTCGCGCTCCTCTCCAATGGTATTTATCATTATTCTGAGAGCTAAAGCAAATAAATTAAAGGGGCGAAATGGGGAAAATCACCTGGGCGTCGCGAGAGCGCGTGCCACGTGACAGGCGCGGGGGGCTCGTGCGATGCTCGCTCAAAAAATCGGTTTGCTTTTCTCGGGGGGAAGGGAAGGAGGAGGGGATTTTCGTACGAGGGGGCGGCGGGCTGCCTTTTTTCTTTTTGTAATTACGAGAGCGCGCGTGGCTGCGCGGTCAAAGCCCCTCGTTGACCGAGCCCGCCGAGCGCCTCCCCCCCGCCCTCCGGAATATCACGCTGCCCGAAGATGCGGTGGGTAGGCGCTGCCGCCACCTCCACGTGCAGCGCGCGTGACCCTCACTTCCCCCCCTTCCCTCCCCCCTCCGAACCTGCTCGCGCACGGCGCTCGGCGAAACCACCTCGGGCCCCGCCCCGACCCCCGCCCGCTCCACGCGGAGCCAGCCGAAAACACTTTCTCCGTCCATAATTACGGCGAACTACCTTTTATATATCCACGAATTATAAACATCAAAAAGCATACTGCACCACTTATTTACGAAATTTATTTGCTCTTTTAAGTGCATATAATCTTCTTCACTTATTAATTTTATCTTTTGAGTGGAATGTTTTATTGTGGTATTAGGGTCGGGTATCTCATATCATATCATTTATCTACAAGATTTATAAATTTTCTATATATATAATCTCCCTCCATCTATTAACATACGCTTTTGAGTGAGTCTTTTTAGCCAAAAATCGATAGCTTAAGTAAAAAAATCATGAGGTGTGCATTGGTCCGGGTTATGCAAGTCTAGCCTATCCGGTGCACGGTTCTAGAAGGATGGGGACATGCAAACGATTTGGAATCCACTTGTAAGGAAATCAAAAGGCCTTGAGCACATGAAGAAAGGTTTGCACGATCATTTTAGAGATATGTGCACTCTAAATCCTAAAACTTGTCATGAAAGTATAATCAAGTCCTAAAACTTGCAAAAAAATATAATCTAATCCTAAAACTTGTCAAACTCCATTCAACTTGGCTAACAAAAAATACTGATGTAACTTCTCCTAATATTTTCTCTCTCCTATGCGGTAATAACGTGGTTAAAATATAAAGCATAATGTTGGAACGATGTCGTTTTTGTCCATATATGATTTTTCATACAAATTGTAAATAAGCTAAATTTAAGAGAGAGAGAGAGAATTGGATCCAGGCGATGAGGGCTTCGAAAAGGGCCGGCAATGGTGGGGGAGTGGTCAATGGGGGTCACTGGTCTTCGGCCAAGGGCCTGTTATTTTTTTCTTTTCTATAATAATTGCATTCGATCAATGACTTTAATATTAATCACTGAAGCTTAATGCAATTGAAATGCAACGCACCACATAGTTAACATGAAAAGCTGTTTAATCCGAAAGTGGGTACGATCAAAACGATTGTTTGATGAGCGACTTGATGTTAACCCTCGCGTGTAACTGTCTTTCCTAAAAACCGTAGACTAGGTTTGACGTGCAAAAATCATAACCGTTACTCGAAACCATATATCTAGCGATGGCTCTAATGTGAACTGTCGCATGCGACTGTCTTTTTCGACGATCAAAACTAGGAAAAGTGCACAAAACTAGTATTGGCGCGACATTTACTCCAAGCAGGGCAGCAATGCAAATGATAGAATGATTCAACTCCAAAGCTCCTGCATGGATTGTTTACTTATTTGGAGCTATTGTAACAGTTAGACGCCTGATGTAATCAATTATAGATACGTGTTGCATGCACGATAATTCAAATGTAACGATCTCAGAAGCAATTCTTCGTGAATGTCAATCAAATTATAAAGACCAAATTGTTATGGATTCCAAATGATGATTAGCCCCGTCGTAAAAGAAGACGAAGGTTCAATAATCAAATTCAATCGAAAGCACGAGAACGAAATTCAATCACGAATGCGTTTTACCTCCCTGTTTTTCAGGGGCCGCAAAAAAAGAAAGAAAAAAACAGAAATCGCCCTCAACACATACCGAAGATGTCGCCCGATTAACGACACGCTTCCCACGTTCGGACGTCGCTGTAAGGTGGGGAAAAAAAAAGAGTTCTATAATTAGCCCGTGTTAAGACGACAGATTTCATTGGATTAGTGTGCGCGGGCCCCACGGGGAGAGAGAGAGGGAAGAGAAGAGAAATAAGAAAAGCGCAGCGCACACTCGAGTTGCGTTGGCTCTTGCAAGAGACGCCAAGCACCACGGCCCCCCCGATAACGCGCCCCGACAGGCACGTGGTTCTCACGCCCGCCAGCCGCAACTTCCATACCCCGCGCGCACCCGCTCTCACCCTTCTATATATTACAAGCCCTCACTTCCCTTTCTTTCCCCCAAAACGCAGAACACAATCACCTCGCCAGCGACTTCCTCCTTCCCTTTCACCCCTCCCTCGCACTCGCCCTCGCCCTCGCCCTTTCGACTGAATCCGTAGCCTCCGACCATCATCATGGCTCCCCGAGAGAGGCCCAACCCCGTCACCGTCGCCGTCGCCGTCGGCCCCAGGCCCCAGGGCCTCAAGGAGATCCGCTTCCGCGGCGTCCGGAAGCGGCCGTGGGGCCGCTACGCCGCCGAGATCCGCGACCCGGGCAAGAAGACCCGCGTCTGGCTCGGCACCTTCGACACCGCCGAGGAGGCCGCCCGCGCCTACGACACGGCGGCGCGTGAGTTCCGCGGCGCCAAGGCGAAGACCAACTTCCCCACCGCCGACGAGCTCGTCGTCGCCGGCGCCGGCGCCGCCCACAGCCCCAGCCAGAGCAGCACCGTCGACAACGCCTCCCCTCCACCGCCGCCGCCGGCGCAAGCCCTGGACCTCAGCCTCGGCGGCTTCCCGTTCGCCGCCGCGTACGCGGCCCCGGCCGGGTGCTTCCCCGTCGTCCCGGTGGCGCGCCCGGTGCTCTTCTTCGACGTCTTCGCCCGCGGGGGCCAGTTCGGGGGCAACGTCGCCAGGGACTGCAAGCCGGGCCGCCCGGCGGCGAGCGAGTTCTTCCCGGCGGTCGGGATTGGTGCGGTGAAGAGCGAGTCCGATTCGTCGTCCGTCGTGGAGTCCGACGTGACCCGTCGCAGCAGCAGATCGTTCCTCGATCTCGACCTCAACCAGCCTCCGCCGCCCGAGGTGGCTTGATTTTTTTTTTTCCTCCCGGAGGGGGAGGGTCTTGATCGGCGGCGGATTTGCGAGTTTTTCGGTGCGATTCTCGTTTTCTGCGGTTCGAAGCTGAGGACGGAAAGCGGATCCATGTAGAGAGAGAGACAGGGAAACTAGCCTGACAATTTAATTTCGGTTCGGCGGTTGACGACGACGACGACAAAATTAGACGATGACGACAACCATGACTTTAGATAATATGTATATAGCGATGATAAATTTTTAACTCCAGTTTTTTAGCAACTGGGAAATCTGCAAGCGTTTCTCAATTGTTGTATTATTCATGCGTTCTTTTTCTTCCCTGTAATACATATTTCGGATATTGAAAAAACGTCAAGATCTAGTAGTCTTTGTGAAATTGCTCTGCTCTGATCTTGTTCCCCCACTTTCTCTAATCTCCGCAAATAATTTTTCATTTTTCGTCGAAATAAGGAATAAGGATCTTGCATTTACCGCAGAAATCAATATGTTTTATTTTTATTTATGCTATTTAATTTAATTATGGCTGAAGTTATCTTGGGAGATGACGATCGAGACATTATGCCGGCAATGTAGCTAGTGAAGATTTGACGGGCGATATCGTGGGTGGGCTTTAACGTATGCGCACGGAACATGCGGCGCAAGATAGAGCAGCCTCCGCTCTCGCGCCACGTGTCGGTCCCGCAGTCGTGCGACGACCGCACTCACGCCCCGCCCCCCCTTTTTTTTTTGTCTAAATTTTTTATTATTATAATGGAGCAATAATTAAAGGGGCTGCGGGAGCGTACAGAGGATTCATGATGAGAAGCGTGGGGGCTTCCTGTCCTTCGCTGCCTTTGACCGGGAACGAGATGATCAGAGAAAGGCTCGTGATTTGCGCTTTTTTTTTGTTTGGGTTTTTTTGGTCCTTTTGGGTGCGAATCTCGACGCTCGTTTGGGTTGATCCGACGGCCGAGTGCTCGGTAGGCGGAGGCGGGCCCGCGCGGGACGCGTTCTATCTGACGTATCTCTTTTTTCTTTCAAAGTTTTCTTTTCGAGGGCTAAATATCGTTTTCTTATTTAAGTTAGGCGGCACCGACGGCGAGACGGCTCTTGGTTTTTCTGGTTGGAAAGGCGGGCGGGGGAGGTGGGGAGAGAGAGGGGGTCACGCAGTAATTTCCGTGTTGACGAGGTACATGTCGGCTTTTGGCTTGCAGTCACGTGGCATTCTCTCGCGGCTCGCTCGCCGGTCTCGTATTGTATTGTTCTTTTCTTTCCTTTTCATTAATTGTCGCCCCTTATCATCGCTTTATGAGCGAGCGGACCGGCGCTGCCCAAAAAAGAAGGGAAAAAAGGGCGATGGGAGGGTTCATGGTCCCCCTAATTAGTGCTATTATCCACGTGTACTGATTTAATTATTCCGAATTAAGAAAACTATTTAATCGAATATAGTAATAGCTACTGTCGCCTTGTTGTGAACGAGCATCTTGTGTTTGTGAATTTATTCTTTTGAATTCATGTGTCTAGAGCGCGAGCGCACGCGCGCACGTATATATCTATAGATATTGCAAGAACGACGCTTTATGAAGGATTTGAATGTTCTTGCTTATTCGAAGTTTAGCTAAACATCATCGACTTAAAGGGCAACAATACAATTACACGTGGGCTTTCAGTACGTGGAATACGATATTTTGAAAAAAGAAGGTCAAGGTGTGATTTTGGATGAGGAATTAACTGCTTTTAGCACGTTCGTATTTACTTTCGGTTGTGTGTGTCCGGCAATCGATTGGGTCCGACAACGGTTTGATTAGTTAGGAATCTTTAGGTAAGCAATATGTCTTCACTAAGATGTTGAGTCCATTTTTCAAGACAACGTTGGATAGTTACACGCGTTTAGATGAGAAGCCACCCGCTTTAGTGCCGCCGAATCTAGTTTAAGTTATATATTTGCTGACACTTATAATTAATTAGGATGTCGACAACCGAAATAAATAAAATTATAAAAGACGTCAAAGGATGACGTAGCTCATACGAGACGGTTCACGTAAGCAAAATAGCTGGCAAGCACTGGGAGATACCGGCGGGGAATTTGAAATTGAAAGAGCTTGAGTCATAGAAAGAGCGAGCGCCAAAGTTATCGACGAAAATGGTCATATGGGATTCGAGTCATCGAGGCTGTCGATGAGGAAAAGGACAGGTGTCAAGCCAGGAAGAGCTTGACGACGGTTCTTGCTTTGGGGATGACATGTGTCAAGAAGAGAAGAACTCAATAATAATTATCACCTCGGAAAGACACAGGTGTCAGGATGAGAAGAACTCGATGACGGTCACTGCTCCGAGAAAGACATATGTCAGGATAAGAAGAGCTCGATAACGGTTACTGCTTCGAGGAGGACAAGTGTCAAGACGGTATAAGTTCGATGACAGTTACTGCCTCGATAAGGATAGGTGTTAAAATAATATGAGCTCGATGACAGTTACTGTTTCGAAGATGACAAGTGTCAAGATAATATAAGCTCGACGACGGTTATTGCCTCGAGAAGGATAGGTGTTAGACAGTATGAACTCGAAGACGGTTATCACATCGGAACAAAAAGATATGATTGATAGCAGTTGGTGAACATATGTCATTAGATGAACGGTGAAGATGAGATCAACGATGTTTATCAAACACTATATCAAAGGAAGCCCCTCGCGAATACAAACTAAAATGCTATATTTCAATTATCTTTACTTTCCAGTACCGTACCTTTAGTTTCCATAGCTGTAGTCGTTTACCTTTTAAGCAAGTAGGTTTAAAATGCTATATCGAAGAAACTCGAGCGCCGCCAATCAGTAATTGGACAGAGTTGCCTAAGTCGTTTATAAAATACAAGTTGAATTTCATTATTGCAAAGAATTCGTGTTTTCGACGAAAGTAGTTATGCTCTTTGCTCACGCTTGGATACCTCCTGTCTGAAATTAGACACGGAACCCGGTTTTCTCTAATTAAAAATCGAAGAACAACTTTCGGTGAATTATATTTCGTTACAGGAACATTTCCAGCGAAAACAATATCGAAGGGACTCGAGAAAGATTTAAGCAGCAATAAGTCGTTACATGAGAAGTGTCTTGTTTAGCGAGATCGGACATATTTTTAATTATTTACACGAAATTCGAATAGAGAAAACGAAAATGGAATCACCACTCGTAGATTTGGGAAATCGCCAAACAGCTCGTGTCCACTTCGAATTATACAGCCGAGAGATTCGAAGATAAAAGTTTAATTTTAGATATTTGGGTATGATCTTTTTTTTTCCGGTACACGTGCGAAATTGTCTCGTCAAATTGATCGAGAAATGGTAATTCGGAAGAGGAGCAAATTCATGACAAAAAGGACCCCAAAAAGAACAAAGCGTATTTGAGAGTCGAAACGCCGAGCATCATTTAAAAAGAAAAAAAAAAGGCAACAAATCGAAGCATTTGAATAAATTTAGTTCGGGTTTGAATAAAAAGAATAGAACGAGATGCCGGCGACCCGTTCTACCGTCTGAAGGATTTGAAGCCGCAAAAAAAAAAACAAAAAAAGAAGAAGAAGAAAAAGGAAAAAGAATTAGTGGAAATTGCGAGGAAAGGTTACCACGATAGCGTCGGGTCGGTGGGCCCCGCGGCGGCTGGCTTTTTGCGGGGGCGGGGGACCCGCGTCTTCCTCCCTTGTCCACTTGCTAGCTTCACCGCTTCGCTGCGCTATGCCCATCATCATCATCATCCTCGCCACAGCCCCCCACACGGGCAATTTTCCCCCTCCTCGATCTCCCATCGATTGCATGCCGAAAAAACGACAGCCACCTACTCGCGGGGCGACACGTGGGATCGCATCACGTGATGGGGTAGCAACCCCCCTTCCTTCAAGAGTGGTGGGTGGTGGAGCGTGACGCGGTCGTTCTGTCCATGTATGACGAGGACGGACGGATGGACAGGAAAGCCGGCGGGTCGGCGCGGCGCGAGCGGCGGGACCCGCGCGCCCGACAGAAATCAACACCGCGAATCTCCTTCCCCCCGACCCAAAAAAAAAAAAACAAAAAAAAATTCTCCTCCCCCCCCCCCCTAAGCCGTGTTCGGAAAATCAGGACAAATATATAATTTGCGAAATAAAAAAAGGGCCTAATTCAAAAAGAAAAACACCAACTTCATCTCGAATGACAATTTTGGCCTGAATATTTTTTTTTATCTCGTAAAATATCACCAATTTTTACTCGAGTCCCAAATCTTGCCATCGTAATGTGAAATTATCAAATGGTTCGGACCAGGTTTAGGATTTAAAAGTGAAAGTTGGTGATTTTTTATAAAGCAAAAAAAGATTTGGGCGATAATTACCATTCAAAGTAAAATCGATGCTTTAGACCCCTTCCAACTTCAACACTTACGTCGAATATTTCCGTCACTTTTATAAAAAAATTTAATTTGAAGACCAACCGCACCCAAATCCCTACACCACCTCTCTCTCTCTCTCTCTCTCTCTCTACATCCATGCGTGCGAGCTTCTGCCTGTTCGTATCTCCCTTGCCCCAGAATATGCCGCCAAATACGCCGCCGAATTCGACCGCTCACCTAGTGGGAATGGGCTTTGCATAACGTAGTCCGGATTATCTTAATTAGATCTTGCTGACGCTTCCGGATTACGTCTCACGAAAGATAATTTTTATTACTGATGTACCGGTCGAGCACAAATCGATAAAGACGGTATTTCGACAACGACATGCCTTTTATTTTTTTTGTAACGAACACCTCAAAGTACCTGTTGAAAAAAAAACCCATCTAAAATAAGTACTTGAATGCGACAATTCAAAACGATAATTATTCTTAAGTGTCGATCGATTTGACATTAACTTGTAGATGGACACGGTTTGGGGATGTTAATGTTGACGCCGCTTCGTCGCCGCGCGCTGGATGACGTCGGGCGTAAGATCGCCACGTGGAGGGCGGGCGGGCGTGGCGGAAGCAGTCGGGCATCTTCTTGGTTGGTGGGTGGCCCGTTCCGGATTGGGCGGCTGCTTTGAGCTTTGGTCGGGTGAGCTGTCTCCCTCCAAACCGCTCTCGCCGGCTCCTAGTTTTGCTCCGCCTTTTTTTCTCTTCCTTTTTTTTTTGTTTAATTATCAATATGGATTTTAATATTACATCGTAATTATAAAGTACAATATATATTATATTAATAGAAGTGCAGAGGAGAAAGGAGGAGGAGGGTCAAAGTTTTGACAATTTGACGTTCGGCAACGCTTCCGTTTTACCTCCTCGAGAACGGGTCTCTCTCGTTTCAGTCCCCATTCCCATGGGCTTTTGGCTAAACCATCAACGTCGAAGCCGGGAGACGAATTTTGCTCGTATTCCCCCTTAAATCATCTGACGAGCTGGAATTGATTT